GAGATTCATCCAATTATTTCTGGATTTCAGGAAGGAACCATCTGGTACCACTCTGTTTCACTCCTGAGTGAGCTTCAGTATAAACTACTCACTTATATTGTTAGAGATTGAAAGACTTTACATTTAATGGGAATATTTTTTTATTTATGTAGATGGTAAATTTAAGAATGTAAAGTAAATTGATTGTACTGCTCAATGCCAATTGTGGGCAGGAAAATCTTGAATGGGTATTCAGAATTAAAGTACTGTAAGAATTAAAAATTTACCTTAAATTGTAATCTAATTCGGACTCCTATTATGCTCATCATTTATATCAATACATTTAAGTTTTTGCTGTGTTGCACTGGCATTCAATTGTTCAGAACAGGAAGCTTGTTATTTGATCAAAGTTTCCCTAACAAAGGACTAAGCTGCTTTCAGCTATCAATCCAGTTACTGAACAAGCCCAATGGTGCTTACCCTGGCTTTGAATGATGTTCACATTACCCACCACATATTATCATTTGCTGCTATAGGCCCATTTTTTTCTTAATCTGTTCAGAATACTCAAATTATCTGCCAATTGCTCAAGTCACTGCTCTTCTTTCTTATATTATGGTAGTCCTTAGCAGGTGGTATAGCAAAGCCTTAGGATTTACAAGTGGGAGCCACAACCAGAATTCCTCTGAGGTGAGAGGAACTTTGGGACCAGGAGCTACGAAGCTTGGAAAATCAACTAGAAGGATTAGATAAAATGAGTTGCTGCTTGAAAGATTAAATAAACAATGAGGAAAATGAGGCAACTTTTTGTTATGTGGAGAACACGAACTTTAATATGTTCAGCTGCCAACAAATGGTGGAACTGATCATCTAGGGTCCTGCCCTCACTGCCCATTGCAGTACCTTGCTTGGTGTAGGTGGAGTCAGATGACTTCTGGCCTTCTCCACCCCCCCCCCCTCCCCCGGGGTTATTTTATTCACCTAAATGCTCTTTCCTGGAAGCATAAAAGGGGCCATTTTAATTATTATTATTATATATAATATACAAAATTTTTTACATATACAAATATACATATACAAATTATAATACAGCAGGCCAGACAAATAAAAAAGGATTCATTTAAATGTGTTGATGAAATATAAGGGAGTTGACTGGGCTGCTGAAAAGTTTGATAGATAAATTAACTGATAAATGACAAAGGACTGGTTGATAATTTCAGAGATGCCATTGAGAGTAGGCTCTAAGAAGCTAGAAAGGGGGCCTTATGAGAATTAATGATGAATATAATGAAATGCCTCTTTCTGGTAGGTTCACCCTAGGATAGCTTGTCTTTGTCTTGTTCCCTTTCTTACCCATAAGGGGATTTTGGGGTTTACTCCTGGTAGTTTAGAGCCCCAGACAGTCTAGGCACATCAGGGTTAGCATTGTGAGCCTATGGTAGCGATCAGTTGCCTCATTTTCCTCATTGTTTAACAATACAGAATTTTCTTTTAACAAGAGGTAACACGGTTTTGTTTTACCTAATCATTTTGTGTTATCTCTGTTTTGTGAAGATTTCCGATCCCCAGGCTTCCTTTGCCTTGTACAGTATAGAGAGCCAGACTCTGGTCCCGGCACCCGGTAAATCAGTGTGGGTTTTGGAGGACTGGTACACGAGCACTCGGGAGCTGTGCTACTGAGCGGATTGCTAGAAAGGGGCATTTCATTACATTTAATGGTTGATTTCTTGAAATACAAATGTTAAAACAACTGCACAGTTCATTGCCTAACCCTATTTTACATGTCAACTTACATCCTAGGTATAATTGTTTTATTAAATCTAATTTATATCCTACATATAGTGTATTAATGTACATTTTTTAATGTTGAACATTGAAAAAGTAAGCCATGCAAAAGAAAATGGTGACTGAATATATGAATTTTATTTGTATTGTTAGACTAAGTAACCTCTTGTGGTAGTGACCTTTTGTAGAAGATCCAGGGACCTTCAATTTAAATTAAATTGCCTAAAAGGGTTGAGACGTTTAAAGGGTATCCAGAAGCACCTCCCAAAGAATTGTGCATGAGAGTGAAGCAGTTGTCAATTGCACCAAAAGACTAGAATGTGGGGAAAGAATACAGATAGATACCTTTATAAAGTGGGACTGTTTAAAGAAAATTAAAACAGCTTGAAAGCTGTAAGTATGAGAATTATAAGGAAAATGGAAAACACAATTCAGTTAATTAAAATGAAAATGTAGACATATAGACCAGGAATTTATAGGTGTTGTATATATAAAGAAGATTCTAATTCTTCCATTAATGGTTCACCTTGCTGCTCATGCTTGCATTGTAGTGCCACATGGTCATTTGCAATGCCACATGGTCATCCGAGTTTCTATTTTCTTGGCAAGTTTTGTGATCATGTTGGGCCTGACACCAACCCCCTCTGGCTTGACTTTCAGTTAAGAAGTTGTGTAGAAATTTGTTAACTGTTAAACCCTGTTGCATAAATGCATTTAGTGGGTGCACTTTTATGTCTAGCAAGAAATAAATAAAACATAATTCGATAAAATATAACAAAGCACGAGAGTGAAGTTAAATGTGATTAATTTACACTAAAGCTAAATACAGTAATGTTCTAATAATAATTTCATGATAGCTCTAACTTTTCTCACCTAAGCTTATAGAATTGAGATTAAGGGGGCATTAGGTTCCAATTTGCCCCAAAAATGCAATAAATGAAAACTCATTCGATTTCAATCAAACTTTTTTGACAAGTTCTATATGAAAAGTGTTTCATCTGGTCCAAATTTCAGCATTGTAGCATAAATAGGAAGGGAGAAAAAAATATTGAAGTTGTGAAAATTATGCAAAAATGGTCAAAATCGATTATCAATCAAAAGTGTCAACTGAAATCATAACTACGACTCTTTGCTATCACAATAGCATATATTAAACAAATATTATAATTAGTTTAATTGGAAAAAATTTTTAAGAAAAAAAAAGGATTTTTTTTTTTTTTTTTTTTTTAATATTTTTTTTTTTTTTTTTTTTGGGGGGCGATTTGCATCAAACTTACACACCTGACTGTACGTAAGCCTATCTGTAAGGATGCCAATTTTGGAGAAAATTGGGTGATGTCAACCTCGGCCACAGATTTTAGAACCTTAGACTATTCATTTCTGTTTTTTTTTCAATTGACACAAACGTTTACAAAACTGATTCCTTTTTTATTCAATTTACATGAAACTTACACAGTATATGTGGAGGGCATGTCTCTACATTGGGGGGCTTTCATTTTTCTCTTAAGTTCATTTATTGATTTTATAATAGCAATAAACATGCCATATTTGCAAAAAAATTTTGGGGAACTTTGAACATTTGTATTAGGAAAACTAAAGATGTTTTGGAAATTCTAAAGCCCCAAATCCTTTATTATATGCTAATGTGTCAGAAAAGTGTCACAGAATAATTATATCTCAAACGTGTGTTCTGAAGTGTGAACTTGAAAATGTGTAAAAAACGTTGAAAAAAAAAAAAAAACTCCCTTTCTATTTACGCTGCAGTACTGAAACTTGGGACAATTTAAGCACTTTTCATATACAACTAGAAAATTAATATTGGTTGACATTGAACAACTTTCACTATAATACTCAGACTTAAGCTAAATTACCCTTCATAACAGCAATTTCCCAATTGGGGTTTGTAATGGTCCTCTTACCTTTCTGGGTGAGACACCCTGGTTGATGGCAGACAGGGGTGTAGTGAGACACCCCGGTCGATGGCAGACAGTGAAAATGCCCACAAAGTTTAAGTTTAAGGACAGAGTGATCCCTCAGACTGACCAGGATTGCCAGAGACTCCTTGGCTAAGGAAGTTATATAATGACTTGTAGGTGGGGTTTTCGATGTGGGACGAGGCCCTAAGGCCTCGTCCCTGCTCTGACCTGTGCAGCTGGTCGCTTGGCTGGTGTCTATCATGTCTGGCCTTCTGTCATAAAACTGAAATGCTCCCGAAGAGCTTTAACTTGAGATGGTTCTGCGTGAGGTCACTAACTTTAAGAGGATTTTCTAAATTGTATAAAACAGAAAAAAGTGTAACTAGATAAGAATGTTGTAAATTTTGTGTCTTTCGTTTTGATGTGTGAAAAGCACACATTAACAATTTTTGCTGCTTAGAAATTTTAAATTGTAAAGTAGTAATTTTGACTTTGACACATGTATAAATATATTTTACTCTAATGAGATATTTTTAGATATCAATATACACTTTATTATGGTACAAATAAAAAGCTACAAAACTAATAATTGAATACGATGAAAACAATTCACTGTATCAGATTAAAAAAGTTGATACGCTGAATATGAATAAAAAAAATTGGAGTCATTGACCAACACCTTGAAATCCATTGAAACATCTCCAGTTTTCTAAAAGTTGGTAATATTTATTAGCAAATCTTGTTTGCTTGTGCATTCAAATCTGTTCATTTCTTTGCTCAATTGGAGTATTGTGTGTCTATATCTGTGTATTTGTAATCTTTCTCATAACTTCTTTTTAGGGGTTGGTTACTTATCATATGTTTTCCCTAAACATGTCACCTTCAGGTATATAATGAAGCATTTAATATGATAGTAAAACTTGAGCTTAAATATAATTCATGTGGGAACTTCCTTTATAAATGTTAATCCTTTTCAATTAAATTTTTGCTTATGGCTATCTTGCCCTGTTACAGCAACCCCCCCCCTCCTTACACTTTCAAGCGGGTTTGATTTTAGAATATATCGATCTCATTTGAGAAGTGTTTTGTCATAACCAAAATTTTCTTTAATATAAATATTATCCAATTTCCCCGTAGCTGCGCCAGGAGAAGGTAGAGTTGCTCTGATATTTGCACTTTATAAAGAGATAACATGATTCATACATATATTCTGATTTCTTCCTCAGCTACACCAAGAGACGAAGATATAACTGTTAAAATATTTTACGGATGCTGCCAATATTCAATTTTTAATCTGTATGCCATTCTCCTTTCACGCAGTTGCGGCAGGAGAAGGTGGAATTGGAACAGACATTGGAGCAGGAGCAGGAGTGCCTAGTAAACAAATTAATGCGTAAAATTGAAAAACTAGAAACCGAGACTGCAGCTAAACAGAATGACTTGGAAACTCTTCGAAGAGAGAAGGTATGGGCTTGCTTTATTTTTATCTTTTAGAGTGAATATTTGACATTTTATTGTGGTGTTCATCTAGTTTGTGTGTGTAATTACTGAAGTATAATTACCTAAAAAAGTATAATTACAGGATGAAAGCTGTACTCGTGGTATGCCATCTTCTCTGTAATCTTTGTTATATGACTTCTTGAAGCTACCAAGGGTTTTGTTATTCAGTCTCTTAACCCCTAAGCTGCTCTGGGCTATTTGGCCTTCAACATCCCACAGGCACAAAAAAAAAAAAAAAAGAGGCGTTGACAAAGCAAACGCCGGAGGCGGTCACCTCCACCCCAGCTGTTGGGCGGGAGTTGCCACAAAGATGACATTACCTAATTATTTCAATGTCTGATTTTTTTTTTAAATTTGCAGTAATATTATTCAGTAGTGTAGTGTGATATATTTATATAATATGTGAATCATCCCTATTCTCAAAAGTATTGCGATCATATTAGTGATTCAATAATTATGTTCATAAAACAATAAAGAAATAATTTTGCTTTTATTACATTATATACAAAGGTTATATATAAGTATCTGCATGTTTTGTTCACCATAACGAACCACTAAGCTGCTATGGTGAGTGCAGACAGTAATAGGTGGCCACACACAGCTGATGCTGCCTCCATCACTGGTTCAAGGCCAGATGCACTAACATTCCTCCTTCAAGTATACTGTTTGTGGTGTTAATACATTATATACACACATTATATATAGGTATCTACATGTTTTGTTCACATAACTGTTCAACTAAGCTGGTATAGTGCCCAAAGAGCATAGTGGCCACCCTTACATGACAAGTCATGCAGATGATGCCATCTCCCTCACCAGAATGGCTTCTCCCAACACTCCTTTTGCTGTTATTACACTATATATACACATTATATATAAGTATCTACATTTGTGTTCACCATAACGAACCACTAAGCTGCTATGGTGAGTGCAGACAGTAATAGGTGGCCACACAGATTCGGCAGACGATGCTCCAGCCCTCCCTCCCTCAACATTACTCCTCCCACGATGCTACGCACAGCGCAAATTATCACAACAATCCTGCTATTATCAGAATCCTGGTAATTTTTATCACAGTCAGGGTCTTCTGTAATACTATCATTGTTAAATAATACCAGTTACATATATTTCTGGGGGGAACCCCCACGACTCCCCGGAGCTATCCAGGGTGATATGGATATCCCTAACTTTGGCATCAGTTGATGTGGGTGGAGTTCTAGGCCTACTGGGGACCACAAGCCAGAACCTGGGGCCCCTTAGAGAGGCAGGAGCCTATAGAAATGCACATGTGATTTTTGAGCATTCTATATCTGATATCGACCAGGACAGGCACGTAGAAAGGTAAGCGCCCCAAACAAACCCCTATTCTGGTGAAAAACAATGAAAATAGACAAATGAGTGGACAGAACTCCCAATTGAAAATGAACAAACAAGCATGACGTCACACGAGCCGCACCGCATGTCTGTGCGGCTCCCCTCTTCCTGGGAGGGGGAAGGGGAAGCCCCTGACCCCCGCACCAGCGATCCACACTGCAGTTCTTCAGCTGATGAGATACGGCTTGGTTGTTGTGGCTCCAGCTCCGGACTTTTGTTGTGCTGTTCACTGTTCAGTACTACTCCTACGGTGGTGTGCGAGCTGGGAATATCATTCACAGGTGGGCTGCAAGTGCTTAGGGTCACCTTCCCTGAGTGCCCTGTAAGTACCATCTTGTCCCCTAACTTCCCTTGCCACTTCGGGGGGGTATAGGGTGTTTATGTAGCTTCAGGGCACCAATCCCCCCAGCCACAGGGCATGGCGAGAAGGCACTCCTAAGCATACTTAGGGTCCTGGGGTTTCCTTCCACAAGTCACCTTGGGTCTACCTTTGTTGGTCTTTTGGCAATTGACCTCCCAGAGTGTTTTGGGGGGATTTCCTCCCTAGTTTGCCTTTGGGTAAGTGGTAGTTATTGCACTGGTAAGGGCGCGGTGTACTGTGTAGCTAGTTTTCACCCATAACAGCGGCCGGCTTTGTACCCTCTGAGTACTCGGTCCTGTTGCGAGGTTTTTCTTTTTTTTTTTGCCTAGTGGAGGGGGGGGGGTCTGCCTTGGTGTTCCTTTCCCCTTTATACTAGGGTTGTTTGTGTTTGGTGGTACCCCTTGCTTCGCCCTCGTGAGTGGACACTTCCTGGGGGTTCAGCATTAGCAGTGTTCATTGGTATCTTGGGTGCCGGTTAGCAGTACCCTGCCTGGGATAACCCTTAGCAGACCCAGTCTAGGGGCCCCTGGAGAAACATCACAGGGGCACTCAGGTTCAATGGATGTGACCCCTGGGTGCCCTCTTGCTTTTTGCGAGTTTGAGGGTTGCTCTGTCCCCTTGTCTTAGGGTGACACTCATTGTTTTTGCCTCCATCATGTTGCCTGTTGGATCGGTGACACACTCAACCCAGAGTCCTGCGAGCTTTGTTGCTCGTTTGTGACTCGGTTCACCCAATCTGATGATATTTGGGTGCAGGCTCGCACGTTGCAAAAAAGGTTTAGGTTGGATGCTTCCCCAGATGCCATGAGGTTGCCCCATTTTGTTCATAGGGACCTGGACTTGGGGATGTTGATTGTTTCGGCCTTGGTTCTGTCTGCAACCCCCTTGTTCTTCCCCTGCTGTGGTTCATTCAGGCCCCCCCCCTTCCCTCTGCTTCCGGGTCCTAAGCATCTGAGGGCCTTGGGGTCAGGGCAGGGTTTGGAGGTTTCCGAGATGGACAATTTTGGGGGTTGCCCCTTTCGGAGTGGCTGCAGAGGTATTCGAGTTAGTTCCTCTAGCCTTAGCTACGGGGTCTGACCAGTGGACCCATCCTCTTCCTGCTATTCTAGCCGCCCCGGCTTTTTCTTGTGAGGCTGGGGCCTTGGAGGACGACTAGCCCCCTGGGATCTGACGTGGAGGTTCCCGGGGTTGGGGAGGAGCCGACTTGGGGGCCTTGGGTCCCATTGGACCCCTCCTGGGCTTTCCCACCCTCCAAGTAGGGCTTGCTGTTACAAGGATTGGGGTTTTCCTTTCTCCCTTCTGCGTACTAGGTGGATTTGGGTTTGGCTCCTACTCGGGTTCGGTTCCATGTCTTTGCGGGTCCTTTGGGTCTGTCCTTCCAGAGGTTTTCGACTTCCCCCATCTCTCCGGCTGAAGTGCGGGCGGCCATTGCGGCTTACCTTCTACGTGACCCGATGTATGCCTCTATAATGGATCCATCTTCCTTCGGGTTTGGGTCTTTGTCGCCATACTGGGTACGTTATGAGGTTCCCGAGTCGTCCTGGCTTACAGACTGCCCAATGTTTTCGCTGGATGCTTGGGACACATTCTGTTGTACCCGCACAGTTCAATGGCGTGAGGTGTTGACTGTGGTCCAGGTTTACCTGGGGGGGGGGGTGATTTTGCACACCTTAATAAGTGCCTTTTCACTCCGGCTCTTCTGCGGGATGTTGGCGCGGTTCAGCTTCATGTGCAGGTTCCCTCCCTGTCGGCTGAGCTTGTGGCTGAGGGCTTGCGCGCACGGGGCTCATTGGCTTTGGTCCTGCGTTTCTTTTCCCTCCTTGAGCTGCCATCGGATTGGCTTATGGAGGATGTAGAAGCGCAAGGGGCCGTTCCTGGGTCTAGCACCTTGGCTTCTGCTGCTCGTGCGTCGTCTGTGCCTTTGAAGCTGTTTGTGCTAATCCTGCAGGATGCACTGTTGCAGTTTTTCGTTGCATGCTTCATGTGTCAGCAGGCGGTGCTCGCTTCCTCCTTGGAATCCGCTTGGGGCCCTGGCTCTTAGATTGTCTTTGCCCTTTTGTCCTTTATTATTTGCAGCTTCTGCGGTCGAACAGTATATGCAAGCGGCTTTCTCCAGCTGCGGCCCTATGTCTGACTTGTTGGTTCTCTGGGGGTCCTGGGTGGCCCGCAGTTCCGCTCATCGAGGTGGGCACAGGTACCAGTTTCGGAGCCGGTGCCTCCTTCGGAAGGTTCCTGTTCTCTCTACAACTTGCATGCAAGCAAATATAGCAGGTAGAGGTTGGATTCTCACACCAAATTTATAATGGTGAGTCTCACATCAAATCTATCAAACATCTTTTGCAGTAGGCTTCCAGGTCAATCACTTTGATAGGTGTAAAAAAGAGACAGTCTCAACCCACTGGACAGGTCATCAACAACAGTTAACTAACCTGAAACTCTTCATGCACACTCTTGGCAAATATCAAAGCACTTCACCAACACAATACATCAATATAGTAGAACCTCGAGTGATGACCGCCTCAAATGGCGACCATTTTGGCAACCCGTGATGGTCAGCCGTGCCTGAAGCTCCCAAAAGCAGTCACGCGGGCCATTCAAGCCTCACGAGTTGCCACAAAATATTTAAATATAATTTTTCTATGTATTTTCAATGCTTTATAATTTTTTTGTATCATATCTGATGCATGTGTGTGTCCTTTACAATATCTATATAGTAGAACATTCATAATGTTCCATGGAACTGTCAGTAATGTGTCCACAATAAATGTTTATTGTTGCAATATTACTTGTTCAAAATTCACTAAAATTATAATATGTAGTTTCACACACTACAGTCACACACTGTACATACACTCAGTACTTCAGAAGTGAGTTATAATCAAAGAAGCATTCCATGGTACACAGCACTACTTCGCTCTCGATGCACCGGGTACAAACAGATTTTCGCTTCCTGTTTCTCCATTCTGTGTGCTTACAAATAACACACTCGCATACACCCTTGGCTTTAGTAGCTGTAGGTGGTATGTAGCCAAGCTTGTGAAGTGTAAGGTAATCTTGCAAAGTTTATAGGAAAAGATCAATTTGAAAGGTATTCTGAAAGAGATTCGGCTATTCTTGAAAAGATTGATGGAAAACACCACCCTGGAAGCCGCTAACACTGTTCATCTATGCTACTTTTATTAGAAGCATCATCACTGAACACAAAACGATTCGTCTAGATAGTTTTCTTCAAGAAGTGCCGGACCAACTGGGCTGTGGTGGATATTTAGACCTGTTGGCTGCTTCAAGAAACAGCCTGTTGGACTGAGCTTTCACAAGTCAAGCCTGGCTTTGGGCCAGGCATGGGCCATGGAGAAGCCATCAAAATGGCTTCTCCACCACACTCCTTTTGCTGTTATTACACTGTATATACATGTTGTATATACATGTGTATATACAACATCTATATTTGTGTTCACCATAAAGAACCACTAGGTTGGTATGCTGAGTGGCAGTGGCAGCCCGCTACTGGCTGCCACTTCCTCCCTTCCTCACCTCACCTGACTCGCCATTATTCTCCTCCCACAATACTGTTTTTACTTTTATTCACTATGCAGACATTATATATAAGTATCTGCATGTTTTGTTCACCATAGCGAACCACTAAGCTGGTATAGCGAGTCCAGACAGTAAAAGGTGGTCACACAGAGTCAGCAGACAATGTTACCTCCTTCCCCACCAAGATTACTCCTCCCACTACAGTGCTAATTATCACAACAATCCTGCTATTATCAGAATCCTGGTCATTTTCATCACAGTCAGGGGGTCTTCTGTAATAATATCATCTCTAAATAATAGCATGAACATGTATATTATGGCATTTTTAGGCGCTGCTGTAGTCACAAGCTGAACAGCAGTACTGTGAGCTCATGCTGCGTGCGTCAGGCTTGATGGCTCACTCAATACTGAGGCCCTCACACCCGGGAATTTGGCCCACGATTTAAAAAAAAATGGCGTCTGTTTACAAGAGCCTTGATGAAGGCGAGGTGAACCCCGTGTATCCGCGGCCGTTTAAATCTTGTATAGTACTCCAATACATCATATGATGGGATGCACAATTTATAGCAAGTCACTCAACCCATCATATGATGTGTTGCACAACTTAAGGGTTATTGTAGGAGACCACTCACAAGTGACGACTTCCTTCTCCTGACTGCCAGTTTCGACCAAGTAAACGAGACAGGTAGCACGTGTGTCCAACTGCTCGGCTCCAATAATGTTTCATACACATTGAACTATCCCAATAGTTTATTTATGTGTCTTATAAAGTTCCTGGCTGTTTTTCTTCCTTTAACACTGTTGTTTCTATATTGTTTCTATATATTTTCCAGTGCTGAATATACTTTTTAAACGTGTGTTTTCTTTACTGTTAACATTGTTCTGGAGATGATGCTTTCCTACTATGACAGTACTCTGTGCATATGCAGAACTGACTATTGTACTGGTGGTGATTCCAAATGCAAGAGTTTCAGATTGTTTTTCAACATTAAACATGCCGTTTCTCTCTTACCTGGGATACACACTTCACAAGGGGGTTTCTCACACTATTTTGCTATAGCAAAAGGCCGAAAAGTGTAAAGGTTAAAAGCAATTCTGAAGTTGGAAAGCATGACATATGCCATATGCTCCTTGCACAGCATTCTTCATGTGCTCCTCCGGTGACAGTCTGTGTGCCACCCATTCTCCTTAGGAGGATGCACTGTTGACCCAGTTTCCTTGGTTTCCCATTCTGTGGGACTTGTGTTGCACTGAGTTAGGTTGCCATCCTGGCGTCTCATCTTCAAGATTGTCTCGCTTTCCACCTCTGATAGGTCTCGTGTATTCATCTACAGTATTTCGTCTGTTGTTTCTCAGCTTCAAGGACCCACCCTCTCCAGAATGTAATGGAATGTCTCTGTCTAGTAGGATCTTGGTGGCTCCCTGATCCCCCCCCCCCCCTTCCTGCCCCTTCTAGGTGTATTGGCTTGTGGTCTTTGTGCTCCAGACCAAGATTATGACATGGAAGATGAGGGCTCTTGGTGGTACCACCACATGTTAGTGGTCGGCCATAACTAGTGTGTCTCGACCTAGTTTTTAAGTGAATTGTTTGTAAAGTGATTTATTTGTTTCATTGCTTTGTTTTTTGTGAACCTTGCAGTTGTTTGTATTGCTTCATACAATTTTAAATATTTTCTCAGTGAGAGGGTGATTGTAACAATCCCTTGCTCCCTGTGCATCTGTGAGGGAACTGGGTTTTGGCTCTGGTCCTTAGTAGACCTTACAGGGACTCCTAAGGCTGATGTGAATCTGAAGTGGGGAAGCTACCCATTACAACTGACACTGGGTTTTTCCGTTACTACTACTAGTATTTAATTTTATGCCTTTCACCCCATACAAATGGAAAATGTGATGATAATTTATTGCTCTTACATTTCAGATTGAGCTAGAGAACACATTAGAACAAGAACAAGAAGCACTAGTCAACAAGCTATGGAAGAGAATGGACAAACTTGAAGCAGAGAAAAGGTTTGTATTAAGAATAGATATATCCAGCACATGATTGTTAAATTAAAAGTGAGGGGTGGTGATAATAGTAGTGAATGGCTGTGGAAGGATTATCATGGGAGGAGCTGCATCCTTGACTCCCTGTCAATGACTATTTGCTTGTCTACTTTCACATCCTCCACATTATTGGAAGGATTGCTATTTTTTTAAGTTTCACTTGTTTTCCTAATTTCTTTGTTTTAATCTCCCCATTTCTTATTTCTAAGGTCTTAAATGTTAAAGAATGTAAACATGTGGTAATACCTTGTTATATCCAAATTAACAAGTTACTTTCCGAAGTAAATATTTTTGTAATACGAGTTTCCCTTTCAAAATGGAGGGGAACACTGTCTATATATACATACCAGACGTTTAACCCCATCATGGGGTGTCCACATCTTTATCGCCACACAAACCTTTCGATCTTAAAGCACGTTAACCAGTCTCTTCACCCCTTATATATACAGATAAGGGAACTACAAATGTCAAGGCTTCCCTACTGAATTTTTAATGGGAAGTAAAATGGTACAGAAATGCACAGACATGATGGAATAGTTTGGCTCTCTTGAAAGGGTAGTGGACAAAAAGAGAGGCAATGGCATGTCTCGGTAGACAGTTAAAGCAAGAAAAGGAGAAAACCAAAAAGACACGGTAAAAAAACATAACTGGACACAGATACAAAAGGGTGGAGGGTGAAAAAGTGCCAGGAATGAGTACACAAAATAAAGAGGTCAGGTGAACACAGTTTGAAACACTGCAACAAAAGTAGAGAGCCAACATAAGTTGTTGCATAGCCATGTACGAAAAAAAGTGTCAAGAGGTTCCAGGAGATCTACAAAGGGTAACCAGATTGGTCTCCAAGGAGAGATAGCAAGAGTAAACAAAATAGAAGTCACCTCAAAAGTAGTAAAGGCACATGGAGAAACTAGATGTAATAAAAGTAGGACTGGACCAGGAATGGCCATGATTAACTTAAGGTGGTTCCGTTGATCAGTTTGATCTGTGACCTAGTCACAGGAGTTTGGGAGCCGGCGGCTGAGTGGAAAGAACACTGGCGCGTGATTCTGTGGTCCCGGGTTCGATCCCGGGCGCCGGCGAGAAACAATGGGCAGAGTTTCTTTCACCCTAATGCCCTCGTTACCTAACAGTTGGTCAACTGTCATGGGCTGCTTCCTGGGGGTGGAGGCCTGGTTGAGGACCGGGCCGTGGGGGACACTAAAGCCCCGAAATCATCTCGAGATAACCTCAAGAAGATAGTCTCTGACCAGGTTGCTGAAGGAAACTCAAAGAATTCTGTTACCCACTAAAAGAGCTTAAAAGCATGAAATTAAAGACTGGTGATCTTTCAGAAATTGGGAAAAAGGGAACCATACTAATAATTTTAAGAAAGGGGACAAACAAGAAGCGGTAAACTATTGATGGATTGGGAACAAAGATTCATAGCCGAAGAGAATGTCAGACTAGAGAGGAGTGGAAAAGGTCCATTAGTGCTCTTTCATAAAAATTTTAATGACCAAAGAGTTTGGTAATTTTCTGTTTTCATAGTAATTTACATAAATGATTTGCCAGAGGGAGTTACCTATTCGTGTCAAGTGTTTGGACAGAATCAATAGCTAACGAGGAGAGCAAAAACTGAGGATGACTAGTGCTGCAAGATAAACCTTGACAAACTTCAAAAGTGGGTAGAAAAATTCATGTTTAGAGTTCAATCCAAAAAAGTGTAAGGTAATGAAGAGGGAAACCGTGTAGGAAATCAAATGGAAAAAACTGTGTAAATCACACTAATACCAGAGGTACATATCAACTGGATGACAATGGCAGCATATGGGAAGCAGACAAATATTAGAATAATATTTAAAAATCTAATTGGAAGGCTCTTTCAAGATGATCTATTCAGCCTATGTACAATAAATACAAGAACTTGCAGCTCCTGCCATGGAATCCACAACTTGTGAAGAAGTTAAAAAAATTTATTAAAAGGGCAGAGATTTGTGACAATATTAGTACCATAATTAAGAGGATTAAGCTGCAAGGATAGGTAATGAAAATTAAGCCTTAGAGAACATAAGAAAGAAATATGTTTCTTAGACATAAGAAACAGAGCGGATATGATCACTACCTAAAAAGATATATGGGAAACAGAAAACATGGATAAGGACAGTTTCTTTAAATGAAGAGAAGATAGGACAAAGCAGAAGCTGGTGATGCAAATGAATCCAAGAAATGTAAGGAAGCACTTGTACTCTATAAAAGTAGTCAGCAAGTGGAAGATATCAAATGAAGCCCTGGAAGCTGGCTCCAACAACTGCAGCCCGTCCGCGCATACAAAGATCCAAGCTCGTTAATCCTGCCGCCAAACTTTCAGTTTATGAATGAAAAGTGGTTTACACACCACTCGCAACCGATGACATCTGAACACTTCCGGAACAAGTGTTTCGCTTAGCGGAACACTTTGCTTTGCTCATTTTTCTTTAGGGAGTTCTGTCCACTTGTTTGACTTTTAGTAGTAGTTTCAACCAGGATAGGGGTTTGTTATGGGATGCTTACCTTTCTGGGTGCCTGACCCGGTCGATGGCAGACATAGAATGCTACAAATTGCATGTGCAATTCTATAGGCCATTGCTCCTCGTGCCTCTCTGAGGGGGCCAGGTTCTGGCTCGTGGTCCCCGGTAAGCCTAAGAGCTCCATTCACACTGACAGATGCCAAAGTCTGACATATCCATATTAGCCTGGATAAGCTCCGGGGGAGCCTCCGGGTCTCACCCTGAAAATGGAGTTTCATTACATTCTACGCTGGTTTTTTGGCCTATAAAAAACTGAAGTAATCTGAATTTTGTTTGCTTATTTTTCAATTTGTGTGTAATTTCATGCTTTAATTAATTATTGAATTAAAAAAAATGGCTGCACATGGGAGGTATCTCCAAAATAATTGTCACTGGAAAAGTAAGGGCGAGAATACCACCACCACTTCCACCAAAAGTGAATTTAAGGTGTTTGTGTTGCTTCACTTGGGATTGTATACAACACATGTTCTTCACCTCAGATTTTGTAGCAACGATACTATTGGTATATAACTTGTGTAAAGTAATAGGTTATGTTTAATGCAAGCTTCTGAATGTCGAGTATATTCCCACAGGATGCTTCAAGGTAAGCTAGAACAACCAATCTCGAATCCACCATCTCCAGCGGACTTTAATCAGGGTGACCGAGCAAATAATCTATCTTCACACATCCAGCACCTGAGAGATGAAGTTTCTAGATTCAGAGAACAGCTCACAACAGCTCAGGAAGAACGTAAGCACTAAACGGCTTGTATTACCTCTTCCACTGAAATTAATTTGAAGAGCTTGAATTGCAGTATTATACAGTATCTTGTACATTATACAATATGTGGTTCCCATGGTCTTCATTTTTTGTTTACTCTCCTTCCCTCATCTGGTTTCTCAGGGACCGGCTTAGCCATTTACTAATACATTCAACAATATCATTTAATATTTTAAATGATATTGATATTTAAATGATTTAAATGATTAAATGAATAAAAAAATATATATAAAAATAAATAAATATGCGAACAAGCTTGAATGGTCCCTAAGGATATATGCAATTGAAAACTCCACACCCCAGAAGTGACTCGAACCCGGACTGCCAGGAGCACATTGCAACTGGTGTATATGGTGCCTTAAACCACTCGACCATCAGTGACCATATAAAAGGCGGTGATAGCCGAGGCTATTTGAACCACCACCCTGACGGCACTTTGATGGTAATCATGGGCATAGCTATTTCATGCAACTGAACACGGGAGTTTTCAGTTGCATATATACTTGGGGACCATTCAAGCATGTTCGCATTTGTGTTGCTAAAGTGGCCCCATAAAAATGAGGCGATTTGATGAAATAGCTATGCCCAAGAGTACCATCAAAGTGCCGTCGGGGCGGTGGCTCAAATAGCCTCGGCTATCACCGCCTTTCATACAGTCACTGATGGTCGAGTGGTTTAACCACCGTGCTGCGCCGAGTTTATTGTGAAATTTTCCCTGTGCACATGAAATAAAGTGTTCACAAAAAAAAAATTTGCGTAAAATGACAAAACAATAGCGAACCACTAAGCTGGTATGGTGAGACAAAACAACAAGAGTGGCTGCCACACACCAGCCAGGTAATGCTACATCCCTCCCTCCTCACCGAGATTCCTCTTCACACCATATAGTACTGCACACATCGCTAATTATCACCATAATCCAGCTATTATCAGAATCCTGGTCATTAAATCCTGTAACCCCCTACACATTAGGAGCATAACTGACCTCTCGCAGTGTTCAAAAGAGAATTCGACAAACACCTTTAAAGGATACCTGATCGACCAGGCTGCGAGCAGCCACATCAAACCACTTGGTTGATCAAACTAGCAACCTGGAGGCCTGGTCAGAGACTGGGTTGCGGGGACACTGATCCCCCGAAATCATCAACAGAGAGTCAATAGGTATACTGTACTCCCTTTGATGAATTCCAGGAATTTACTTGACTGCTCTTTACTACAGTATCTGCTTCCCTTGTTCCATGGTACTGTTACCTTTAGGGGTGGCGGATCAGACACTGCTTGTGGCAGGAACATCTTCTCGCCTCTTTCCTGTATATCAGCTGCCTTCTGTCGTTCTGACCTCTTCTGTGGAATTGTTGCTATTACTTCATCTCTGGGTGGTATCCTGGCCATTTATAGTTCTAAAAGGACTCTCCTTATCTTTGGTTTATCCCAATCTCTCCAACTTTATGGATGTCTACAGTTTTCCATTTTGCCAGGTGGTTTAGAGTCCCTTGGCTTGTCCCCTGGATATGTAGGATACTTACTGGCATGTTCCAATACATCCACAGTACACTCTTGCTGTCATCTCTCATGGATAAGCCATTTGTCTCTTCTGTTCCCATTATACTCCTCCTGACTTCTTAAAAGGAGTACCTACCTACCTCAAGGTAAGGTAGGTATTCCTTTTAAGAAGTCAGCCTTACTGAAGTGCTGTTAGGCATAAACTTTAGGGATCTACTGTGGGGGGGGGGACCGTCCCAAAAATGAAGCCATGACTGTAGTGACACAGCATTTTCTGATTGGCCCTTAATAGCTACCTGTTTTTGCCCTGTTTCCTTCTTCCCTGGTTTTCATGGTTCAGTACTTGCAACTCATGTGTGAGGATGTGGCTGACCGGAGTCCTGTGTGAACTGGGCCCTTTACCCGATGGTAGTCTGGTGCCTTAAAGATAGGGTTGCATACCCTCGGCAATGATCAGTTGCCTTGTTCGTCTCGCACACTACCTTCCCACCTCACAATTCTGAGTGATCTAGATTTAGCAACTCCATTCAGGTGCCTACTGAAAAAAAAGAGAAACTCAGCAGGTACGGCTGTCACTTTACCCCAATGTACTTGACAAGTTACTACATTGTCCCCCAAGTCAAATATGATTATGCTTCCATTCATAGGAGATTAAAAAAAATGAGGTAATTGTACTTTGAACAATATTTCATAACGTATGTATTGTTTGTACCATACAGATATCCACTACAATACCCTGCTGCTTCATGAAACTTAGATATATAGTGATTCTTATGAGCCATCAAATACCTGTTGTTTACCTGTTGATGATTTTGAATTCTATCGCAGCCTGGCATGGAGCCTGGCTTTTATGGTGATTGGCTTGCCTGAGGCTGTTGGTCTTCATATCCCATAGGGCTGCACAGCCATCACAGCAGGCTAATTTACGGGAAGATTTTTCTTGAATGCTCCTACTGTTGTCCCGCCAAACCTTGTCCCCTTCACTTTAGCACATAAATTTAGAATGAATTTTCTTAAAATATTGTCTATTTTTATCCAAAGCTCTTAAAATTTTCTAGGAATGTAACCCCACAAAATAGATCCAACTGTTTCATTCCAGGTAATATACAAAAATAAACTCATACTATATAGTACTGTATATTACTAGCTACACTATATACTTGATAATAAATTACAAGTCTGCATGTACCTTCATTGAAAAATGTATTCCATACATTAGATTAATATACAAAACCAAATATATGTTGAAATATTTAATTGTGTTTCAGATAACCGCACAGCTCAGCAGTATGCTAATGAGGAACGCTTAATTCGTGAAGAGAATCTTCGTTTACAGAGGAAACTTCAGATGGAAGTTGAACGAAGGGAGGCACTCTGTCGCCATCTTTCCGAGTCAGAATCTAGCTTAGAGATGGAAGAGGAACGTCACTATAATGAGATCACATCACAGCGGCATCGAACGCTCTCTAGTCCAGTGCCATACAATCCTTCACCTAGTTCCTCTAGACCTCTCTCACCGGGTAAGAGATTAATTATTTTGGTCAGTTAACTGCTGGCTGATGCAGATTTTTACCATTTAACTATGTCCTTTGGTCCTATTTTCTCTGAATTGGAAATGGCTTATATAGCCTTTGGAAATTTTCTTCAACAATTTTTTTTAACATGCTTAATTGCCATTCTTAGTCTTGGAAGCTTTCCAAATGCAGCTGATGGTATCTTGTTTATGTAAGCTTCCAGTGTTAGGCTTGATTATGTCCACTCTCATGTCTGTTTTTCTTTGATTCCTATATTCCTATAGTTACCTTACCTACCCATATGCTACACAGTCATCCTAGCTTGGTGCCTTCTGTTGATGATAGTTTACTTTACTTACCCATAGAGTGTAGATTGCTCCTGGTCTTTTAGCTTTTCCTATCTTCATTATCTTGAATTTGTTGAGGTACAACTCTTTTTGCCACCCATGTCTGCTCACTGCTATAGTTTGTCATGATTTTCCTGCGTTCTATACAGTTCTCAGTGTTTACTTTTCTGTGGGGAGCTCCGTCGGCTCCCTGGAGCTAACTGAACTGATGGTGCTATATTAGTTGGGGGTCATCAGAGTTCTGCCTACCGGGGCCATGAGCCAGAACCTGGCCACCTCAGAGACGAGCAGTGGCCTATGAGCATTTACATTTAAAGTATGTCATACTTTCCATCGTAAGTATCTTTCCATCTTTCTGGGGAAGAACCCAGAAAGATAGGCAAATCAAAACAGACCACTGTCTGGTTGAAAATTGCAAGTTACATCCAGAATAGCAGAACAACTCTCCCATAATGAGAACAAACAAGCAACACTTCATCCAACTAGCCCCCCTGTTTGTTAGTGCCTCCCGCCCATCCATGGGTGGGAGAGGGAGCAGGTCAAGGTGAGCCAACAACAACCCACCACTTCAGTTCTTGGACTGATGTGCTGGCAGTTGGACATCACCTCTGGCCTCTCGGTTTCTGTGAGTCTGTTCCTGCACTTGTGTTGTGTGTTTGCCCGGTGTATTAATGTACTGGAGCTGTATGTGCCTAGGGGGGACACCTTTCCTAGGTGCTCTATAAGTACTGCCCTTACATTTCAGAGTTACATTCCCTGGGGCATTCGGGCCTCACGCCCCATGGGTTGGACCCGATCCACCCAACTCAAATTCACTTCCCCGCCCCCTCCCCCTCATTCCCGGGTGCCTTTGGGTTCCTCAGATTCTACTTTCCATAGGTTTTCTTCCTCTCGGATTTTCCCTGCGGAGGTTCAGGAGGACCCTGGTGCTTGCCTACTGTGGGACCCGGTTTGCACCTCTGTGATGGACCCAGCTTTGTTTGAGTTCAGTTCAGTCTATCCTTTATTTAGTGCGTTACGAAGTTCTGGAGTCTTCAAAGCTGGCAGACTGCCCCTTCTTCTCTCTGGGGGGCTTGGTGGGACTTTTGTCATGTCCACACGCTTGAGTGGCTGGAGGTTACCACAGTGTTGCAGGTGTCCTTGGAGGATCCTCGCACAGCTCACTCAGCAGTTGCTCGTGCAGCTGTGCTAGGTTCTGAATTTTGCTCTTCTGGTTTATCTGCTGGGCAGGGTTTGGCTTTGGAATCTGTACTGGTATCTTTTGGGCAGCCTCTTTTACGACTCTCGCGATCCCTGGGTTCGACCCCTGGTGTTCCCAAGTCAGTTGCTGCTCCATCGGCTTCCTCTTTGGGTTTTTCGGGGTTTGGTGTCATGGCGCCTTCTCTTGACTCGCTCGATGTGTTCACGAATGCCTCATCTCAGTTATGGTTTTGTGACCGGTGCTCACCAGTTGGGCTTCCTTTCTTTCTCTTTGCCAAACGTACGGGCACCCAGAGATGGACCTCTTAGTATTGGCATAATCTCGGCATCTCCCATTGTATGTGGCGCCGTTCCCAGACGGTGAGGCCCTCATGGTAGATGCTTTTTGGCAGGGCTGGTTGAGGTGGGGGGGGGGAGGGGGTCCTGTACCTCTTCCCAATGGTCCAGCTGCTGCTCCAGGTTTTTCCTTGGCTGGATTCCTATCGGGTAAGAGTTCTCCTGGTCCCATGGTGGCTGGCACAGCCTTGGTTTAGGCACTAATTGCTCGGTGTCCGAACTTGGGCATTTTTCCGCGGCTCTGTCTCTCTCTAGCAGATCAGGCCTGAGGTATCCTGCTGATTTGCCTTACTGCTCCGCACTACATGTTTGGTCTTTCTAACGCTTGTGTATCGACATTTGTATGGTGATCAGGTTGCTTCTTTCATGGTGTACTACCTGGGGACGTCTTCACGGTGACCGTATGAAGTTTCTTGGCAGTCTTGACGTCATTTTCTTTCTCTATGGGAGTTTTCATTGATTTCGGACCAGGTTGTTTTGTTCTTTTTCTCTTGACCTTTTCTGAATCAGTGTCTCATGCCTAATACTGTCACTTCGTAACATGCGGTGTTGGAGGAACCACACGATACGGAGCAGTCTTTGCACGATGTTGCTTGCGTTCGGGGTGAAAGTTACTTATGCTCTGTTCCCCGAAGCTTTCTCATGCATTTTTTCACATCCAGCCTGCTCATGCTCCATTTGAGCCTTCTTGGTCTTTGGACCGAATTATTTGTTTCGTCCCCCCCTCCTCGTTTTGTTGTGGCTTTTGGAAAGTTTTTTTTTTTTTTTTTTTTTTTTCTTGGCCAGGAGCTTTATGCTCTCCTCCAACTCTGGGGGTTCTGTTCGTTTGGTCCTGGTAATGTGATCGGTTGTTCATTTGCAGCCTTCTCCTTTCCTGGTGAAGAATGGAACAGCTGGCTCTGGAGGGATCCGTTGGTTGTGGATGCTTGGTTGGTTGGACCGGGGGTTCATCATGTGTCGTGTTCGATGGCAGCTTTATGTCGCTACCTGCGGGTCACTGGTTCTGTGACGGTGGATGCTCTCTGGGTGGTTTCGGTTTACTTGTTTCTCTTTTCCAGGGCTAGTGTGTCTTGGTTAATGGTTTGAGGCTACAGTACATATCTGTTTACACTGAACCTCCTGAACACAGTGAAGATCAATGATTCAAACACATTCTTTATGAATGTGACACCACCATCGAACCATATTAGATATCACCCTAATCCTACTCGACTTCAAAATAGCCATAGACAGCATGCTCTCTGCACCAGGCCCAGACTCTTGGAATTCTATATTCATCAAGAATTGAAAAAACAATCGCCATCACATGCCATAAATGTCTTGGAGATGGAGCCTAGCTGCTGGTGTTATCCCTGACATACTTAAAACAGTAGATTACTGTACTCCACTTTACAAAGGAGGTATTAAAGCTAATGGAAAAAATGATAGACGAATACCATTAACATCACATAAAAAAAAATTGAAAGTGTTGACCAGACCACACACTAGAAGGTGAAGGGACGACGACGTTTCGGTCTGTCCTGGACCATTCTCAAGTCAATTGTGAGAATCGACTTGAGAATGGTCCAGGACGGACCGAAACGTCGTCGTCCCTTCACCTTTTAGTGTGTGGTCTGGTCAACATACTTTAGCCACGTCATTGTGACTCATCGCTTGCTTTTGAAAGTGTGTTAAGAAGTAAGATCACAAAATGCATGGAATCGGCGTGTTCATAACCCCAAGCAACATTGGTTGAGAACTGGGAGCTTTTGCCTCTCACAATTGCTAGACCACTATGACATAGCCTTAGGTGCCATGGAAGATGCTGTTGTAATATACAGATTTTGTAAAAGCTTTTTACAAATGTGACCATGGTGTTATTGCACCCTATAAATTACTAACAAACCGAACCCAGTGTGTGATAAGTCAACAAAATAAAATCTGGATCTTCCACTGTGAAAAGCTCAGTCCCCCAGGGTACTGTGCTTACCCTGGTACTTTATCTCATCCTCATACCAGACATGGACAAAGCAACCCATCCTCCGAATTGACAGTACGTTTTAATACTAAGTGTAATAAGTACATTTTCTGACTGCCATACATGGTACATAATTGCTCTTATGGGGCTGTTACATTTACCTCCCCATTTATTCTCCTCGTTTTCTGTTAAGACACTCTGATTTTAGGATGAAGTTTTCAAGTTCAATTTACTATACACAAGTTTTAAATATCAGGAATTTCTTTTTCAGTTTTATTAAACAATAGATAGTTTATGCAAAATTTGAAAATATCCTGAGTTACTTTACAATTTATTGATATATTTTAGTTTTGTTTTATTAGTTTTATAAAACTGTAATATCAGTATAGCTATAGGTTAAGTACTAATTGTAATTAAGAAGCAATAAAATGCTTATCTTCAAACACGAAGAAGGTTAGGTTAGGTTGTGGTTTTCTATTTAGCTTTTCAGGTAAACTCAAATATTCACAATATATTTGACAGTACGGTTTAATACTAAGTGAAAATAAGTACAATTCCTTACTGATATGAAAAGTACATAATTGCACTTACTTGTGCTGTTACATTTACCTCCCCATTTTTGGAGGACGGGCTGGGACAAAGATACAAACTATAGTACTCTATCATCTTCTGTCATGATGACACAAATAATGACAGGTTGGATAACAAGATCCTTTCAAATAAGGGATGAAGGGATGCCATACCAATTATACATTTTAACACTATCGCCGGCGTAACGTGCGCAACGCAGACTTTGACGTCATGGGGCCAATGGTGCGGGCAAGCGTGCGGCGACGCCTAAATGTGTATACGTGTACTCGTTTCGGTTTTCTCGCCCTAATTCTTGTTACGTCGTTCGTTTTGGTATCATTGTGTTTGCAATTAAATTCCCTACAGATGTATATGCATATAATGTCCAAAAACCTGGCGAGACTCCCTGCAGCAAAGCCTAAAGTTACCCGTGAACGAGCACCAATTTGCACACTGCAGCCTAATGTGTATACTCGTTCAGTTTGATAACATCAATTTTCATGTTAATCGCTCTTTTTTTTTTTATCAAATTGTTCGCAAAATAAAGGCGCGTTTTAAAACTAGTCCCATAATAATAGAGCAATAACTTTAATTTTAACAAACATTTTAATTTTGGACGCTCATCATCAAAATTATTTATATACTGTAACCCCACGATTATCCGGGATTTGAACATCCGGAAAACGCCCTTATATGGCCAAAATCGTGATCGGATAAAGTTATCACAATATCCGGCCAGAATGGCCACTATAACCGGATAAAAGCTGGTTTGGCCAGATGAAAATTCGGCCATACCATATTAATCCCATCTGTGGCTCTAGACGCATGGTGGAGGAGGGGGTGGGGTGGGTGGGTGGTGGTGGGAGGGGAGCGTCGGGAGGAACCACCTGGGTACAGGAATTACCATTAATTTTAGAACAATTAATCATAGCCAAAAACAAATGAAATAAGTACTAGTAATTATGTAATAACAAATAAATAAGTTTCCTAAAAGCAATGTGCTTAGGCTGAAGTTTCCTTAAAAAATATTGAGTTTTTTCCTCCTGGTGGCCTACGTAACGTGCTATAGCTGCCCCAAGTGGACCTGTCCAACACTGCTCAACCCATGTGCATCCGTCCCTCGTGTTATACACAGTGCTGCGCCATTAGTGAAATATTTTTTTAAATAACTTTATTTTCATAGTAACTGAACATTTTTGGCCAAGACTATGTCTGGTAGCAGGATCAATCGTTCTGGAGGTGTTAAGAGGAAGAAGGTTGTCCTAGCAATTAAAGACCAGTTACTTGTTGTTCAACCAGTGAGGCGTCACAGGCAGCCAAATGCCTTCAACAAGTGAGGCGCCACAGGCAAGCCAAGCGCCTTCAATAAGTGAGGCGTCACAGGTAAGTCAAGCGCCTTCAACAAGTGAGGCTCCACAGGCAAGCCAAGCGCCTTCAACAAGTGAGGCGCATCCAAGTGCCTTTAACCCTTTAGTTGCACAAGACATCGTATGATGCTTTGAGTGACTTGCAGTAAATTGTGCTCGGCATCATATGATGCTTTGAAGAACCGTCCAAGATTTAAACGGCCCGCGGATACACGGGGTTCACCACACCTTCATTAGGGCTCTTGTAAACAGACGCCATTTTTTTAAAAAATCGTGGGACAAATTCCCGGGTGTGAGGGGCCTTGGTATCGAGTGAGCAACCAAGCCTGGCGCACGCAGCATGAGCTCACAGCACCGCTGTTCAGCTTGTGACCACAGCATCGCCTGAAAATGCCATAATATACATGTTCTTGCTATTATTTAGCAATGATATTATTACAGAAGCCCCTAGACTGATAAAACTGACCAGGGTTCTGATAATAGCAGGATTGTGGTGATAATTAGCACTGTGCTCCATGGAGGGAGGAGTAATGCTATGGGAGGGAGTGAGGTGGCGTCGTCTTCTGACTGTGTGTGGCCACCTTTTATTGGCTGACTCACCATACCAGCTTAGTGGTTCGCTATGGTGAACACAAATGTAGATACTTATATATAACGTGTGTATAGAGGGTATAAATAGGAATAGGTTGGGAGCCGCCATTTTGGTGAGGGAGGGCGTCGTCTTCACGACTTATCATGTTGTTTACTGGTGACCACTATGGTCTTTGGTCACCATACCAGTTTACTTGTACAAGTATGGTGAATAAAACAGGTAGATACTTATATATAATGTGTGTATATAGCGTAATAACACCACAAACAGTGTTGTTGGAGGAGAAATATTAGTGCGTCTGGCCTTGAGGGCGGCAGCCAGCTGACTGTGTGAGGTCCTACGTCTTTGTGCCTTTACTCACCATACAAGCTTAGATGTGCAGTTATGGTGAACAAAACATGTAAATACTTATATATAACGTCTGTATATAAAAGCAAAAACAGTATGGTGGGAGGAAAATGGTGGCAAGTCAGGTGAGGTGAGGGAGGGAGGGAGGGAGTGGCAGCCAGTGGCAGCTGCCACTGGCTGCCACTGCCACTCAGCATACCAACTTAGTGGTTCGTTATGGTGAACACGAATGTAGATACTTATATATAACGTCTGTATATAGTGAATAAAAGCAAAAACAGTATGGTGGGAAGAGAATGTGGGTGAGTGAGGTGTTGAGGGAGTGAGTGGCTGGCTGGTGTGTGGCGGTCACTCCTCGTTACTTTTTGACTCATAATAGCAACTTAGTAGTTCGTTATGGTGAACAAAACATGCAGATACTTATATATAACCTGTGTATATAGTGTAATAACCGACAAAGAAGCATTTGTTCACTGTTTGATGAACATAATTGAATCAACAATATGCACACCATATTTTTGAGTACAGCGATGATTCACTCATTTTATTATATAAATATATCACACTACACACTATTGAATAATATTACAGCAAAAAAACTACAAAAAATCAATCAGAGACATTGAAATAATTAGGTAATTATCTCTTTGTGGCAACTCCGGCCTGACAGCTGGCGAGCAACAGACCGTCTGGGACGCACGCTGAGTCAGCGCCGGTTTTATGCCAGACTTCCCCGCCCTATAGCGGGCAATATATGCCACTTACGATTTTATTATTATTTTTCCCGTGATCAGTGAATACAAATTAACAGGTTTAGAAGAAAAAATATTTTTTTTTGTATGGGCCTGTGGGTGACACATGCTAAATAGCCAGGCATTATTTAAGGGTTAACAAGTGAGGCGTCACAGGCAAGCCAAATGCCTTCAACCAGTGAGGCTTCAGCAGCTGGCAGTCAAAACTGACTTTGTTTAATGAACTGTACAGTAATTTTAAGTGTTAATTTTAGTGTTGTTAGTATAGGTTAGGTAAATTGTTAAGAATTCTTAACTTCAAGATGTGTGGCATCAATCAAGAAGACGAACACCAACAAGGTAAGTTGAGGTTTCTAGTTGAATATTTAATAATTATATGTGGCAAGGCAATTCAAATTATGTTGTTTGTAGTATAAAAATAGTTGGAAATGGTCACTTTTGGACTCATAGGTGAAAAAGTACCATTATCTGAAAAATGTGATAATCCGGCTGGGGGTCCTTCCCATATAGTCCGGATGATCGAGTGGAGACAGTATTTCCAGCGTTCTGATATAAAATTTCATGATACATCGCTCGTTTTGGTATCAAATTGTTCGCAATATAAAGGCGCGCATTTTAAAACTAGTCCCATAATAATAGCATAATTAATAGAATTTTAACAAATATTTTAAAATTCAGACTTAAAAACGTATTTATAATCTTTCAAGTGTTCCGACATCAAGTTTCGTGTTACATCTTTCATTTTGGTGTCAAATTGTGCGCATTCTAAAGGCGCTTATTTTGAAACTATCTCGAGGTCGATCAGATAAAAAATGAATTTTACACAAATATTTTTGTAGTGGACGCAAGTCCTGTCCACGGCTATGACTCGAGAGAAAAAAAATGGACGCGAGTCATGACCAAAGAGAACGATAGTGTTAAGATAGTGCTCTTTAGAGTGGGTCATTGTTGCACACATTTTAGAGAAATTGCTGACCTGGAGGGAATGCAAAGATCTTTTATGACTAGAATCCATTCGATAAAACACCTAAATTATTGGCACACGGAAATACCACATGATACTATAATAGGTATGGCATTGCTGGAATGTTTGAAGCATAGGTTAGGTATACAGTATTGTGATAAATAAGGAGGTACCTTCCATTGGCCAGTAGGCCATGTGATGTTGACACTGTGTGTCCTTGTGTTCTAGAAATATGAATTTTGAAAGGATGACCCAGTAGGCAGATTTATTCTGTTATTTAGAGGAAGCTGCTGTATGGCAGTTCTGATTTTGGAGAATTAATTGTAATTAATAAAACTGGGTTTTACAAAGAAAAGATAATCTTAAAAAAAACAAGACATGTGTATTTAGTAAATTACCATGTGGATTATAGAAGCAATAAGTTTAATGTTCTGAAATTAGTTTTCATATGTATTAGTACAAGTATATTTGTTGGTGTAGGAGATTATTCTTTATAAACAATGAGAATGCTGTGTTGACCATACCTCCTTCAACAGGTTTGTCAGGTTACAGCGGTGGCCGGGATCTGTTTTCTCCACCCAGCCCCATGGGTCGCTGCCCTCACTGTGGCCAGGTGATCCTGCACCACCCGCCGCCCACTGTCCCTCCGCCCAATTACCTGCCCTCTGCTTCCCCTCCTCCCCCACCTGTAATCTCCCCTGCAGTAAGTCTTATCTCTAATAACCATCAGGCCTTGTGTGAAAGAATTTATTATTAGGTTTTATCAGTTATTCAATTTTAGCTGAATTTTTGTTATGTCAAGTGCTGTAGCTACACTGATAGATTTTTATAGTTATACTAAATAATATTTTTATATTGATACATTTGTAAAAAAATTAAGCTATTAAATACTTTGTTTTCCTTGAATTTGATGTGTATTAATCAGAGGAAATGTGTACAACATTTAGGTTTTCGTTTTAGAAACATACATTAATCTACTTTACTTTATTATGAGTATCAAGCAGTGTCGCATATGTAGTACAGTATTCAGTCTAGTTCTTACATTTTAACTACATTTTCTGGTAGGGCTCCTTCAGGAGCTCGGAGCTAAAGCATTGGGTATCACACCAAGCTTCCAAGTCAAACCTTGACCTACCATGACCAAAATCTGGTCCATTATAATTCAAGGAGAGCTTGGGTTGATAACAGATCGATTCCAAGCCAAGAAGAACCCACCAGACAGGATAGGAGAAAAAACAAGTGATTGCCTAAATGAATAGATGAACCCTTGGGCAAACAATTGCTGCTATAGGCAAACCACTCTAACTTAATGTGTGTCCACTACCAGAAGGTAGCCCAGGTCACTTGTTATCCAACTCGGCCAATCAGCTACCAACCTGACCTGCTCGCTGGGTAGTTTCAGAAAGGGACCTCTAAAGATCCCACTGTGCTTCCCATTTTTAACCCTTCTTTGAGTCATTGATTTTAGTTAGATTTGTGCCCTGCATTAGTTTCCCTTGTTTAGCAGAAGATGCCTCTTCTGAAGAGTTTGGGATACTCTGAGTTGGTTCCTACGAGTTGGTTCCTCTTAAATTATCTTGCTCCCGGGCAGTGTGTGGGACTTGATTTCCAGTGAGAGGCCTGCTGATAGCATAGTTGTATGCTTGTATTGCCATTGCACCTAGATTCGGTTCCCGTACATTTTGGATGGGGATGTATTTGGGCCAAGTTTTCAGGATTCTTACTCTACTTTGGCTTCATATGCCTTCATTAACCAAGCAAATACATCATCAGATTAGGTGTGTAATTTGCTGAGAACACTTCCCTTAATAATTAAACCTGGCCTGTCTGCCTGTGCACATAATGGCCCAGGTAGCGAGTTCCTTTTGTCTCCAGATTGTTTTCTTTGACCTAAATCTACCTGATTATGCTGCTTGCAGCTTACCTAGTTTGCAAATAGGCATTGGTTCATCCTGTTGGAGACATTTATGTCTGTGTTGGATGCAGGTACAGTACTCACCTTGTTGTGATTGTAAGGGTTGAGCTCTGGCTCTTTGGTCCTGCCTCTCAACTGTCAGTCAACTGGTGTACATTTTCTTGAGCCTATTGGGCTCTATGAAATCTACATTTGAAACTGTGTATGGCATCTGCCTCCACCACATCAGCCACATAAGGGGGCTGGTGGCTGTGTAGACAGCACACTGGACACGTAATCCTGTGGCCAGGGTTCGATTCCAGGCGCTAGCGAGAAACAAAATGGGCAGTTTTTTTTTTCACCTTCATGTTCCTGTTACCAAGCAGTAAATAGGTACCTGGGAGTTAGACAGCTGTTATGGGCTGCTTCCTGGGGGGGGGGATGTGAAAAAAATAATAAAAAAAATAGTAGTAGCAGTTGATTTGGCAGTTAAGAGGTGGGCCGAAAGAGCAGAGCTCAACCCCCGCAAGCTCAAATAGGTGAATACATCACTGCCTAATGCATTCCATTTGTTAACTACTGACACAAAAAATTCTTTCTAATATCTATGGCTCATTTGGGTACTAAATTTCTACCGGTATCGACTTGTTTGTGTTCACCCATGCTAAATAGTTTTTGTCCACCCTGTCAATTCCTTTTGCGAATATTGTAGGTGGTGTTCATGTCTCCCCATACTCTTCTGTCTTCCAGGTCCTCATTCGTCTTTGCCCTCGTAGCGATAGTCGTTCACCTGAGCCCCTAGTTTGTACTCGGGGCTGCTTCAGAGCAGCCCAGTAGGCTGCACCTCATTGGGTGTGTTTTGTAATGTCCAGGCATTGCATTATCGGGTTACCATCATAGGATGGGGGGAGTGGCTTGCTCCTTACTCTTGTGTGCTTTATGCAGGCACCTTGTGCTTTTGACTGGTTTAGCTTTCACTTCTTACTTTCCTGCCTTCTGTCACTAGGGCTCCATAAACCTTCAGCTTGTGAGCCTTCGGAAGTCTGCAGTATCCTATGGTGCTGTTCCATCTGGGGTTTTAATGGCAGCTTGGAAGCCTACTTTTGGGCTTACAGCTCTCAGGTTCCATGGTTTGTTACCTTGGGTTCAGCTTAGGGATGTTTGGGATCAGTGTCCTTGATGCTCCCAACTTTTCTTCATGATTTTGGGCTCTAGAGTGGGAGGTGCACGCCTCCATCTCTGGCAGGTGTGGAGTTAGTTTTCTAGAGGCCCAAACCATGGCTCCCTGTAGTTAGTCGTCCTGAGATAGCTCCACACCTGCAAGTCCTTCCATACATACAGCAGCCTCTCATAGTCCTTAAAAGCCTAACAGAGGCTGACCTGGCACAGAGGTACAGGGAGCTCTGTACCTCTGATCATTCTCTATACCTTCATATGTGATCATAAATGTACACGAATACATTCATGATCACCTTCAGCAAAGAATCAAATTGCCAGAAAGGAAGCAAATTAGAAAAGATGACAGCAAGGTTCACAGAAAGTAAACAATGCAGCAAATAACTCTGAAAAGGATCCACCCATGAGTTGGGTTATACACACTTTAGTAACAGTTGGCCACCACCAGGTGGCAGCATCAAGGCAGCTGCCGGTTCTCACTCTCAACAATCCTTTTATACTTAGCTGCTTTATTAGTTCATATTTTCCTACTTGTGTAGTTCCCCTCCTTCCACCATCCCTACCTCTTTATACCATGCTCTGAATGATTCAAACAAAGTCTGGGCAGGGTTTAGCTGTAGGTATAGCTAGGCCTTCTCCAGGGTTAGCTCTTTCCATGTCAATATTGGAGATAGTTGAACTATTGCTTCCTGCCAATGATACAGAGCCTTCTGTGTTTTAGGGGATGTATTTCATTCAGATCCTTTAGTTTGGGAGGTTATCATCCTGTCTGATGAAGCATCACATGTGGAACATGGTTTTGCCCCAGGGTCTGCAGACTTCAGGGCTGAGGAGGGGGAAAGCCCAAGGAGTGTCCAAGGGTGCCCTTCAATCCTTCTTGGTTTCTGATTCCAAATTTGAAGGATTTTTTACTTCAGATGAAGGATCTTGCTTTTCCTCTGTTGATATTTGAGCTTGAATCATTGGCTGCTCCATCTCAGATGCATTTTAGAGTCCCATTAGTCTCTGGGTGCATCTCATTTCAAGAGGTTTTCATCATCCTGCCTTCCATCTCCTTTGGCTGTACCTACCTGTCTACCTATTGTTGGTTCCAGGGATCAATAGTCTGATGGCCTGGTCTCTGACCAGACCTCTTGGTTGGTGATCTGGTCTACCTACCTTGTGTAGCTTCCAGGGTTCAACAGGCCCGTGGCCCGGTCTCCAGCCAGGCTTCCCGGTTGGCTGTCTGGTCAACCAGGTTGTTGTACGCGGCTGCTCGCAGCCTGACGAATGAATCACAGCCTGGTTGATCAGGTATTCTTTGGAGGTGTTGATAGATTTCTCTTGAAAACCGTGAGAGGCCAGCCAGTTGTGCTCCTTATGTGTAGCGGGAGAGAGTTGAAAAGTCTTGGGCCCTTGAATGTTGATAGTTCTCCCTAAGCATACCAATTACACCTCTGCTTCAACGGGGAAATTTTGCACATCCTGCCATGCCTACTGGTCACGTGTGATGTTATTGCTGTGTTCAGATCTGGAACCATTCTCTCCAATATCTTCCACCTGTAGATTATGTATCTCGCCTGTACTCTAAAGCATACAGATTTAGAACTTTCACTTGGTCCCAATAATAATAATGATGATGATTTAATGACAAGTGGATTCTAGTGGTAAAGGATCTTTGTACGCTCTCTAGGTCAGCAAATTCTCCGGCTCTGGATGGGGCTGTTAAGAGTGCAACAATATTCCACTCCTTGAATATTGTATATTTTTTACCGTCTCTATCGTGATCCATGTGTGTTGTAGTTTTGGCAAGGATTTGTTCAGTTTTTGTAGTAGTAAATGCTACACGTAATACCTACAATATTACTCCGGAATAATTCAAAATATTCCGGGCCCTCTTCCTCCTTGCTTTTCTGGCTGCTCCAGCTTCTTCTTTTGAGGCCGTGGCTTTGGGGGATGGATTGACCCCGGGTCATGCTGTGGAGGTTCCCGGGGCTGGGGATGCGTTGACTTGAGGGGCCTTGGGTCCTGTTGGACCCCGCTTGGGTTTTTGTACCCTCTGAATGGGGCTTGCTGTTGTAGGGTGTAGTGTTTTCCTCCTCCTCCTCCCCTCCCCCCCCCCCCACCCCCCACCCCCACCCCCCACCTTTTGCATACGAGTTGGATTTTTATCTGCCCCTCCTCAGGTTCGGGTCCATCGGTCCCGTCTTCCTGGAGGATTTCGGCTTCCCGCATCCCGCCTTGTGAGGTGCGGGAAGCCATTGTGGTTTACCTTCTGTGTGACTAGGATTACGCCTCTTCAATGGATCCGACTACCTTCAGGTTTGGATCTTCGTTTCCTTACTAGGTTCGTTACGAGGTTCCGGAGTCGTCCTGGCTTGCGGACTGGCATGTTTTTCGTTGGAGGCTTGGCATGCATTCTGTCAGTCCCGCACGCTTGAGTGGTGTAAGGCTCTGACGGTTGTCCAGGTTTAACTGGGGGAGGGGGGGTGGTTGAGCACCTCAATGCGTGCTTGTTTGCCTCTGCCCTTCCTTGGGATGTTGGCATTGTTTGGCTTCACGTGCAGGTTCCCACCCTTTTGACTGCACTGGTTACTGAGGCTTTATGTGCTCGTGGCCTGTTGGCTTCGGTCTTGCATTTCTTTTTCCCTTAT